CACAATGACCTCAGTTCTTCTGATGGGGTTTCACCTCTTCAGCTTTGTTAGGCTCCACCTAAAAAGGAAGGAAGGAAAATGTGGAGCCCATGGGACTCAGTCCCTGCTCCCACTCCACTGCCACACCACTAAATTTTGGTGATAGAGGAGCAGGACCAAAGCTGCCTTTATAAAAAGAACAATGCAGAAGCCGGTCAGAAGCACAGTTCTGCTTTAAAGAAAGGCTTGTCCTCTCCTGCACATTTTATTTGCAAAAGATTTTCTATCCTTTTGCTGTGCCCATGCCACCCAAATTCAGAGGCATCGTGGCAAATTAAGCAGTGTGGTGGTAGCAGGGGTCAGCCCCTTACTTTTCCTGTCCCTGCCATAGAGATTTGATGCCCGGCTACCCTTCTTTCTGCTACTTTTTTCTTTCCCTCCCAATTTTCTCAGATCAAGGACTGCTGTTTTCTAGAGAAGCACCTATATTTTTTGGGGGAGTTCACAGTAAACAGACAAGAGCTTTAGGGAAATGTAGCCCCTATGATCAGCATTCCTCAGATGAAAGCACATACATTTAAACATCTTTGTTTGGATTTATATTGAATTCATACTATGATCATTTGATTGGATTGTGGGTCAGTTTTCATTATAGCCTCTACTTATTAATTTTGCATTTGTATACTCAAAATAACTCATTTTGTATACCGGCAGAATGATTTCTGTATTAATACATTACATATAGGATGACCAATGTAGGGATAAGCATGTGTTCTTTCCACCAGCCAACAATGCTTTTCTGTGTTATTAATGCAGAGAAAGAGAAGAATCTGCAGATGTAAGCCAATGAGGAAAAAAACATTAACTAAAAGATAAAGAAATAAAAATAAAGTTGCCATCAAATGTTTGCAAAAATATATAGAGAATTTTGTCAATTTATATCGATGATACAAACAATCTAAGCAAAAGTTACAAATAAATGGATGATCCAACCAAGTAACAAGCAGCATAAATTATTCCAGTTTCCTAACGCTTGGGCAGATAACCTGAAAATTAGAGCAAAATCTCTTGAAACACACTTCCTGTTTACAACACTGAGAGAAAAATGGGCAAATTAAACTTGAATACGTGGAAGACGTCAATGCAAACTGGAAAATATGAGAAAAAATGGAGATGAATACACTCACATGGTCTTCAGAGGCAATAATTTAGAACAGTTTGCTTCAGTGAAATGGCTGCTGCCTCTTTTGGTGCACAGAGCAGTACTTTGTGTTCCTTGCTAATTGAACTTATTATATATATATATTATAGGTTCCTTCCGAATCTGGATTCCTGAGGTTTACGTTTGTTCCCACTTTCGGAACACTGCCAACTCAGTTCCACGTTGCTGATACCCCAGCATTTCTTGTTGGACTTGAAGGGGAACCTGCGGATAAGAATTACCAGGAAAATGCCAGAAACAGAGTAGGATATTTACTTCTTTCTGTGTTTGTACTGATTTGCAAGAGCCAAGGTTAGGAAGAGGGGGGAAACACGCAAATTGCCCCAAAATATGTATCCTATTGTTCTTCCAGATAGTGATTGATAGCTATATTCAAGCACAACTTGAGAATATCAGGTTGGATGTGTGAAGGTCTGTGTGACCATATTGCCTGGTTAGCTAAGTTACATTTGGATTCTGAACCCATTTATCTAGACTCTCCCTGTGCCTTTTCTCAAAAATCACCTGGCCCCAAAGCCTTTCCCACCTCTGTGACATAATTATTAATTTTGCATTTGTATACTCAAAATAACTCATTTGTATACCGGCAGAATGATTTCTGTATTAGTACATTACATATAGGATGACCAATGTAGGGATAAGCATGTGTTCTTTCCACCAGCCAACAATGCTTTTCTGTGTTATTAATGCAGAGAAAGAGAAGGATCTGCATATGTAAGCCAATGAGGAAAAAAACATTAATTAAAAGATAAAGAAATAAAAATAAAGTTGCCATCAAATGTTTGCAAAAATATATAGAGAATTTTGTCAATTTATATCGATGATACAAACAATCTAAGCAAAAGTTACAAATAAATGGATGATCCAACCAAGTAACAAGCAGCATAAATTATTCCAGTTTCCTAACGCTTGGGCAGATAACCTGAAAATTAGAGCAAAATCTCTTGAAACACACTTCCTGTTTACAACACTGAGAGAAAAATGGGCAAATTAAACTTGAATACGTGGAAGACGTCAATGCAAACTGGAAAATATGAGAAAAAATGGAGATGAATACACTCACATGGTCTTCAGAGGCAATAATTTAGAACAGTTTGCTTCAGTGAAATGGCTGCTGCCTCTTTTGGTGCACAGAGCAGTACTTTGTGTTCCTTGCTAATTGAACTTATTATATATATATATTATAGGTTCCTTCCGAATCTGGATTCCTGAGGTTTACGTTTGTTCCCACTTTCGGAACACTGCCAACTCAGTTCCACGTTGCTGATACCCCAGCATTTCTTGTTGGACTTGAAGGGGAACCTGCGGATAAGAATTACCAGGAAAATGCCAGAAACAGAGTAGGATATTTACTTCTTTCTGTGTTTGTACTGATTTGCAAGAGCCAAGGTTAGGAAGAGGGGGGAAACACGCAAATTGCCCCAAAATATGTATCCTATTGTTCTTCCAGATAGTGATTGATAGCTATATTCAAGCACAACTTGAGAATATCAGGTTGGATGTGTGAAGGTCTGTGTGACCATATTGCCTGGTTAGCTAAGTTACATTTGGATTCTGAACCCATTTATCTAGACTCTCCCTGTGCCTTTTCTCAAAAATCACCTGGCCCCAAAGCCTTTCCCACCTCTGTGACATCACAAAGTCTGAGCCATTTCTGCTCTCAGGTTTTGGCTCTAAACTCCCGGGATTTTGCTGAGCTGGCAACTCCACTGAGTGGCGTAGTCACTGCAAACAAAGGATTTTCCAAAGGCAGAATGGAGAAGCCTAAATGATTCTGATACAGATGTTGTAACCATGCAGAACAAATGCATGTAACAGTAAACTCTGGCCCAGCCAACATGTGGGACAAAAGGATACATGTACACTGTTCTCAGGTAGGCCAATATCTGATGAATGCACTTAATCTAGGAGCAGAGTTAAAACATATACTACGTGGTCCACAGGATATATCAAAGTGGATTTTCCAGAATCAAGAAAAAGTTCCAGACATCTTGGGTCTAACAGGCAAAGTAACAAAACAAATCTAAGCTAGAAGAGAAAGGAAGACATGGGGCTAAACTACATGTTACTCTAAAAGAACCACCTAGCTACATACCTCCCCATAGCGCTTAAAGCAGTGATCCTCAACCTTGGGCCTCCAGATGTTCTTGGACTACAGCTCCCAGAAGCCTTCACCACCATCTCTGCTAGCCAGGATTTCTGGGAGTTGAAGTCCAAGAACATCTGGAGGCCCAAGGTTGGGGACCACTGGCTTAAAGCACACTCTGGGCAGTTTACAAGTTAATTATTCAGGCTACACATTGCCCCCCCCCACTGAGCCAGATACTCATTTTACTGACCTCAGAAGGGTGGAGGACTGAGTCAACCTTGAGCTGGCTATCTCAGATTGAACCCCAGGTCGTGAGCATGCCACGAGACTCCTAGAATATTGTGAAACGGCTATCTGCCTTTTTAAAGTGACATGTAGTTCAGTCTGCAATTGCAGAAATGGAAAAAGAAGGTGTTGGAAGCGATACACATTGGCTGGAATGCAATAGTTAAGTTGTAACTAGAGTAGGCCCATTGTATCAGTGAAACTTGTGGAGGAGGAGTCACCAAATCCTCACTGATACAGTGGGCCTACTCTAGTTGCAACTTAACTATTGCATTTCAGTCAGCAAGAGCATGCACACCCGATGAATGTGATTAAAAGGAAAAATTAAAGAAACATAAATAAAGCCAGAGAGGATATTTAACAAGTTACAACTTTTGCATGCTATGAATGCAACACTTGAAACAGCAGTTATATCTGAAATATTTTCCAAGTGTGCTTTGCTGAAGGAAACAGAATGTCTTTCTGGTTATCTCTATGGTTCTGTTTTTAAAGTCACCAAAGACGTTATCTTAATAATTCCTTAACTCATTTCCCAAAGTAATTGTGTTCTCATAGGACACGAATAGCAGAAATTATAAAACAAGGGCATTGTTGAGGGTTAAGTACTCAGTTTGTTCCTTATGGGATCTATCTAGAAAATACAAGGCAAACATGTTGACAGCTTCCATATGCGCACATGCACACCCAGTGTGGGAGCCCCAGCGTGACTATTTCTGGCATTCAAGGAGTTAAGCAGCAGACTCTGAACATCCAGAAAATGAGTCCCAACAACAGAACAATTATGTTTTGTACTGAACTGCTTACTCTTACCAGTACAGTCAAGCTCCCCAACAGCATATCCTTTTGTTTTTTCTGCCCAGGGAATGTTCTGGCTTTTGAAGCCCTTTTGTTCTCTTGATAGATAGGGGGGTTGCCCCAGATTTGTTCCTCTGATTATCGTGGGATCCATTGTTTTGCTTTTGCCCAGCCCACAGTCAGAATCCAGTCACTCTCACATGTTTTTTTTTAAAAAATAATGCTTGATGCCCCTTTCTGCTCCACTGCACCTGCCTCCTACACCCCATTGTTGCATTGCTCTTGATATCATGTGAATTAGTCCTTCTCTTTTATGTGGCCAGAAAGGGACATGTGTACTCCTTTTTAGGGGGCGAATCAGACAGACTCTGCCTGCGCTGGTGGAAGAGAGAAGGTGCTAATAGTGGAAACGCCACCATTTCTATAAGACGCCTCCCCCCTGTCCCCCTTCCAATGCTTGCTCTTTCTCTGACATTCCCCATCTTCCCAGAGCCCTGATATGCTGGGTGCATTCATTTCCAATTTGCTGTAGGATCCATTAGCTTGCAAGACAGGATCTTCTGTTGGTGAGGAAGATAAGGCTAGCAAAATATTCATTTCAATGGTTTTTATTTTATTCTTGTTTAACAGAATAAAACAGTTGCTGAAGAGCAGGGCTTAGGAAGTGGAGAGAAGGGAAAGAGTGACGCTTCCAGGTGCATAAACAGTGGCCACAGTCTTTTCCAACCCAAAGAGCCTCACAGAAGCAGGCAGAAAATGGACAGAGATGATCTTTTCAAAGCTGAGTTTGTCTTTCTTACGGACTCAGATGAAGACACGAAAACTGCACTAGGCAATGGCTCTGGAGGTGAAAGATCCAAGATCCTAGAAACATCCTGTGTGTCTGCCAGGAGTGAGTCCAGAGGACAAGAGAATGTCCCACAGTTGCCTCTCCACCCTGAGCCTCCCTACAGTCCTGCCACTCAACATAAACAGTCTCAGGTACCAAGTTCTTCAAACTGTATATGGGTGCATGTAAGAGAAGATGTTATCATCCTTATGGAAACATGTCTTTACAGAACCACGTTCTTCTGCTTATCTTTATTCAGTTCCCCCTTTATGATGAGTTAATAGCATGCATGTATGATTGTCTTCAACAGCTGACATACTGTATGTCTTGCTGAGAGACTAGCGTGGGGAAAAAATCAACCACAATGGCAGTGAAGGGGGCAGTTTTAAGTGTATGATAGCTTCTTTGTATACTCAGTGGGATTTTTGCAGCTACAAAAACTGGGTGTGCATAGCTTTCCACAACACAGTATACTTCAAAAGTGTTTGACTACATCTCCCACCACCTGTAACTTTCATGGTCAAAACATCTAGAGGGCAACCGTTCAATTATTAGTTCACCTCATGAAGCAACATTTTACCTAACTGGACATTCCTCTTAGATCTGGTGCGGTAGAGGCTACGCGAAGTGAACTGATGCCCCCGACACATTGCCACAGAGTTCTTCTACGCCTCTGTTGTACATATTGCTCCACGTACCTGCATTGGCACACCTTACATGCATCTCAAGAAACCCTGGCCTTGCTTCCCCTTGTTTATCATTGTACTGTTCAGTTGCAATGTGACCAGACATCTTCTTCAATAAGATAGTGTTGCAAAGGATCCTCCCAGACAAAGCACAGCAGGAGAAGTGGACCAAAATAAAATAAAATAAAATCCTAAAGGATATCTCATAGCCAGATCTTACTAAAGATGCTGGCTGGCAATTCTGGAACTGAACATAGGGGGGTGGGAACAATATCAGGACTTTTTTTTTGCTGTCATGTGGGAAGGCAGTAAACACTGTGTTGTGGTGACTTCGCTGCTCTTTCTGTTTTACTATCTGAGGTGACTGTCACCCTTTGGACAATGATAGGGCTGGCCCTGGATATAGTGGACAGATGTTGGGCAAAGCTAGGGAGGCGCCATTCAAATCCCTTCTCTTATGAAACTCACTGGGTGGCACTGGGATAGTGTGGTCACTACCTCTTAGTCCCATCTTTCTCACAGGAATATTGTGATGATAAAAATGGAGAGGAGAACCACGTATGCTGCCTTGATCTCCTTGGAGAGAAAGTGGGGTACAAATAAGTAAACATAATTACAATATTCCCTACATGAGATTTTGGGAAGTGGACCTTAGGGAATATAAGATGCAAACAAACAATTGTAGCTGGAATCTCAGTTTCTCAAGCTCATTGAATGGCTGGTTGGTTGTCCCTTTGCTGAAACTACTTAATAATCTTGAGAAATGGAAATCTTCCCTACCGCTCACCTTTAGAGGGGAAAAGAGTGGACATTTTCCATTTCTTTTTTTATTGTTACTGACAAAAATGTATCATCCATGCTTTTAAAGGGCTTTTAAAATGTGTTTTTATTGTGTTTGCAACAATTTAAAAGAAATGCAAAACTTCTTCTCCCCTCCCTCTAAAGGTTAAGTGGCCAGGAAGCTTCCCATTTCTCAAGAATGATAAGCAGCTTCCGTAAAGGAATAGCCAGCCAGACTCTTTGTTTGATCCCAGCAATTACACATGCTCCAACCAAATGAAAATGGTCCTATCTGCACCAACTTCTCCTGGAAATTAAAACAAAACAAAGTAAAACAAGTTACTCCTGGTGGGGACCCAAAAACCCATGGCAGGCGTCCATCAGGGTGGGCTGGTTTGCAATGGCATTTATGTTGTGTGTCACCAAGAAAAGGAACAAATTAGTCTGTCCTCAAACTGGACCAAACTGCTGGACAAATCTCTTTCTAGTTGGAGCCATAGTCGGCTCCTACAAAGGTTCCTCATGAGGCTTCATCTCCAGACCCTTTACCATCTTGCTCACTCTCCTCTGGATGTGTTCTGTGTTGTTCAGGAGCATCATTTTGAACATGACAGTCAGCGCATTGTTATTGCTCCTGAGCAGGCATGTGTAGCTTTGAGAAGTACTTTGTATACCTGGTGGGGAAACGTCCAAGTGAATAAGAATCGCATCTGGCCATGCCCTTAGTTTCCCTCACTCCACTAGAATTTGTCCCTTTCCCAACAGAATTTCAGCCCTTGCGGCCAAAGAGATTCTACACCTTTCAGCACAAATTGGGGATTGTGAGTGGGAAGCATCCATATAAGTTTCTGGCTTGCAAAATTAGATCAGTCAGCAGACCCCAAACTATCCCTGTTGGGGCTGCGGATGTTAGGAGCTTGCTGATTGGCTGATCACTGCTTCTTTCTCACCACCTGCCCCAAAGGACCTGCACAGAAAACTGGTTGATGACTCCAAGAATCCCTCAGCTCGCATTCCTGGGGGCCATGTTGTTTGGGGGACTAAAATAATTTCCCCAAGCTCTCAGATGGCTATGCTCTCATGCTATGTTGTGGAGCCTTTTCTGGGCTCAGCAGGAGCTGCATTTCACTTTCTCACTTCCTGCCCATCCTGCTGACCTTTTGCTTTCCTGTCTGGCTGATGGGAAGGGGAAGGCTGAACCACAGGAGGCGGTGGCACTGCTGGTCAGCATAGGCTGCCCATGTTTCCATCCAGGGAAAATAGCAGCTTGGACAGGGATGAGGGAGGAGTGACAATTTTGTTTGGCTTGTGTTTGTTTCATATGACCTTAACAAAAAAATTTTAAAAAATCATACATTTCTTCATTACTTTGATAGAAAGACTTCTTTTAAAAAAAAATTAGGGGAAAAATTTTGAAAAATTGGGGAAAATAAGGTTAGGTAATAGGTAACCATATTAGTAGCATGTTTTTAATGTATTTTAAATTGTTTTTTTTAACAATCTACACTAGAGATAGTAATGTAGCACCAATAGGACTAACATTAATTTTTATTTTCCATAAGCTTTTTGTTTCAGATTTTTTTAATATTATAAATTGAAAAACTAAGTATGGGACAAGGCCCAACCAGGAAATTTTCCTATCTAGGCAGAAGACCTTGAGCATTTGGCTCTTAAATATCTATTGTTATTTTTAAAATCCCTGTGTATTGAACCTACTTTCTAATATTTAATAAGGATTGCCTCCTCTGTTTTTCTGGACAGACTCTTAATCTTTAACAGCTATATAGCAGAGAAGTATAATGTGGCCCTCTCTCTACTGGGAATAGCTATGGCAATTAATTTTGGTCCATACAGATGGTTAAGAACTTTGTGACTGAAGCTGTACACCAGTATTTCACACTTTACAATATCTTTACTAACTGGTTGTTTATAACAACCATAACGCCCCCTGGGGGCTTTGGTACATTTGAAGGGGGCCACAGGCTGGGAACAATTCTTCACACACCACCTTGTAAGATTTGTTATGTAACTTACACAATCCTGATTTGACTTATTATATCTTCTTAGAACTGCAGAGCTGGATCATTGAGTCCAGCCTCCATCATGGAGGCACAGTGGAGAATCAAATTCCCAACCAGATTCCACAGACAGATGCCTGAACCACCATTTAAAAAAAATATGTTATGTTTATAGCTGTGATCAAAAAAGGTTGAGAATGGCTTGGTCAATAGTTGCCATTTTTGATTGGTAGTCTTGCAAAACCACCATTAAAAAAATTATGTTTATAGCTGTGACCAAAAAAGGTTGAGAATGGCTTGGTCGATGGTTGCCATTTTTGATTGGTAGTCTTGCAAACAGTCACATTTCATCACCTACATATAAACATATCCAACTCTAAAGATGCCAGCCACAGAGACTGGCGAAACGTTAGGAAGAACAACCTTCAGAACACGGCCAAAGAGCCTGAAAAACCCACAACAACCATTAGATCCCGGCCGTGAAAGCCTTCGTGAATACTTTATCCAAATTGTTTTTTGTTAAAATAGGAAAGAACTTAAGAGTTGAAAAATAATATACGGGAAATATTTGCTTGGAAACAATATCTTTGAAGGTGACAGTGTTACCTGTAACACAGTGGATGAAATCCTATTACTCAGCCTAGTAAGTTTTACATTGGGGATTTGATGAGTCAGCCCCTCTGTATGTTCCATTGATTCTTTAGTTGTGATTTACTTTACTGTAATAAGTTTCAAGTGGAGTAAGCCCGTTTGAATCAATGGAATGCACAGAAGAGCTGACTCATCAAATCCCCACTGATTTGGTGAATATGCTACTCTTGTTGTGACTTACTATGCTAAGCAAACACCACTATTTGGGGGGCACTCATATTAAAATGCAATGTGGTGGCTGGCTGTGGCATTAAACATTGTTGGCTTGACACATACAAATTCTGATTTGTGTGCTACTTAAGAGTTCTTAAGAAGGATTTATTTTCCTATAGAGAAAAAGAAGTGGGAGGGAAATCAGCCAGATGGCACTAAGACTGTTTCGAAGAGCTGTAATCCAGAACACAGCCATAGGTTCTGTAGGCATGTCAACCTCATTGGGATTTGCATGTGAATAGCTGGGAGCACAAGGCAGCCATTAAGCCTGTTTGTAGTTTCCTCCATCCATAAAGTGCCTATTCATAGAAAAGTTTCTGTGTTCACATTTTACAGAAAACATCAAGCCTTTTGTTTATATCTCACAGCTACTAATGACATTAGTCAATGCTTCATTATTTTCGCAAAACTATGAAAGAAATTAGCACTGAACATGGAAAACTGGTGTCTTCCTTTACAGAAATCATTCTGAACACCAGCTGATTATCTGCATGGATTGCTTGATATTAATCATTTAGCAAGGCACCATTCTCGATGATACTGATAATTAAAATGAGCAACCTGCTATAAAAGCATTTAACCAACATAGTGACGGTACCTGACTTGAATGGTGCCACACATTATTTTCTGTTTTAACATTTCTTTTTTCTTCTCCTTCTCTTCTCCCCTTTCCAGTTAACTCCTCCTCTGCCTGCCTCTGGCCATCCTTCCCATACATCACCTGTTGTCTATTTCCTTTCTCCGACTAACCTGAAAGTAGACCATGAAGTGGCTCCTCCAGCCTATCCTGCCTCTTCTCTGCAAGAATCCTACAGCCAGTGGCAATCTGCAAATGGATCCTCAATCCACCAGTCATCTACCTATTTCCATTCTACCACTTCTTCCAGTGTACCTTCCTCTGTAGTGAAAAGACCTTCTTTCCCATTGCACAGCCTTTCAGACAGTGATCAGCTCACCAGCAGTTCCAAGGCTAACACTCATCATGCGGACTCTGAAGCCACCTCAACACCCCTTTCCTCAAGGAAGGACTTGAGTCCTTCTTCACAACTTCTGAGTTCAGCCGCCAACACTCTCCAGAGCCCATCCCCGCGGGCCCATTCTCCTCTTCCTTCCAAGAGACTTACCACATGGTCTGTGGTCCCTATCTCTATCACAGCACATGTGTTGTCACCCAGCCCAAAGCCCGTGTCTTCTCCTTTACATGGTTCTTCCTCAACCTTATGCAGTGCAAACAATCCCTGTAGTCAAATGTCCTCTAGTGGAAACCTTCTGATGATGCCTGGAGGTAAATCCTCTCTGCCCACCAGGCTTTCTCTTCTGACTGCTATTCTGAAGTCAGGATCTTCTCCCAAAAGGCCATTTTCTCCTGCCTCTTGTCCTGCCACATTTTCTCCCAATTCCTTAGGCTCTTCAACGCTGACCCTAGACCAAAAGTTTAGAACAACCCCTCCAACACCGAAGAAGTCACCCTCAAGTTTCTCTGTTAGGTCTACTTCTCCCAGTCACGATGAGTGCCACCTCTCAGTGTTTTCTAACACACCAAACCACACAAGCCTATCCTCAAAGTCCAGTCCTCATCTTAGAAGTAGGTCACTATCCCCTAAAAATCACTTGGACATCAGGGCAATGTCTCCCGACAAATTACGCCCATTGTCACCCACCATTTCTTCCTACAGAAAAACTGTTGTATCACCTCTCTTACACCCCAAACAACCCCATCTGTCCTTACCTCCAAGTACACCAAGGAAAGGGGCCCGGTCCCCTGCCCACAGAACACACGGCCCAGAGAATCTGAAGAAGGTACATACCTACTCTCCCACTTTTACCGCCAAGTCGATTCCCGTGTCTGTTTCTCTCACCAATCCAAGGGACTTGGGTTCCTACCCTTCAGAAAAAGGCTGCCTTTCTCCAGCATGGCAGCATTCTAGTGCTCAACCCAAAGAACGTTTCCCACAAGCTTCATCTAAGGATCCTCACCCCACTTCACCAACTTCAATCTGTTCACCTCACTGGCCCTTTTCTCACACAGACTCGACCTCACCTCCTCGGCCTGACTGTAAACTTAAGCCCTCTTCAGCTCAGAGAAATTCTTCCTCAGTACACTCAAACTTCAGAGCTTGTCCACCATCATCAAGACCCAGGACCCCAGCAGGAACGCACCAAGGATCCCCCACCGTGGTGCACTCACCCTACTCCCTGTGGTCAAGATCTAGGGAGCTGAACTCTCCACTGTCTTTCTCCCTACCTTCTGATTCTGAGAACCAGATTCCCCAGGTACTCTGCTTGCTTTCCAGTTTGCTTGCTTCTGTTCCTTCACTTTCCTTTCCTTCCCTGATCTAAGAAAACAGTACCCAGAAAAAAATATATATATGGTGGGATGGCTCCAGATTAGGTGAACTTGGGAGAAACCTATTGAAATCATTGGGACTTAAGTTAGTCAATTTCAAAGTGTTGTTAAGTTTGGATCCAACACTAGTACTCTCTATCCAGTCAATTTTCTAAGCACCTTGATCTAATGTGTATCGGGAGCTCCCTTGCCAAAATGGCTTTTCTTTTTGTTTGAATAGATGGAATGAAAAGAATGCATGTTCACACCTTCCCTTGCATCTGTCCACTGAAATGACTGGGGAATTTCACATGCACAGGAGAATTGTATGTGCATCTGGGAATGCATGGATCTTTGTAACCGCACAATTGCATTTGATGCTTCTGACATCCCATGTGACTAAAAGCCTTTACTAGAGTGTTGAAGCAACTATTTCTAAAGCCAAAACATACCAGATAGACAGCATCTCAGTAAGAAGATAAAAATATGTTATTCCTGTACACCTTCAAAGTTGGCAAGTTTGCAAAATCAACTTACAAGGATAGTCACACCTCCTTTACTGTGTAAGTCAGATTTGCTTCTAAATACTGAGCTCCCCACCTGGTCTGTTTTGACTGTGAAGCTTCATTTCAAAGGCATGTGGAACAGACTGGTTACCAATTAATTTGTGTGGAAAGTTTAAGCACGATTAAATCCATAAAATTATGCTTGTTAAAAAGAAGAGCTTTTTCCGTGCTAATGTTTTTGTTTCTCAAAGGAGGACAGTTTGATTTTGATATGTCAATGACAGGAATGTACCAGAAGAAGGCATATGTATTGGATTAATTAATTCTGGAATAAAATGTTTTCACTGTGATGTCCCTATTTTCTGAAATCGAGAACACTGGCTGTAATCTCAAATTTTAACCCATGTTCATTGCAGTGTGATTTAAGCATGCAGTAACTATAAAGTAGCTTATAAATAATGTTGTCAGTGTTGTTATGGATGCTAGGAAATGACTATGCAGTTGATTCCATGGAAATATTTTTAATTAACTCTACTGTATGAGTGCAGCAGCTATATTAGTGGTTATAAATATTTATAGCAGATTATTTCTTGGAAATTGCTCTATTTGAAGTGCATCGTCTTAAAGACTGCTAATCACTGGAACATTTTCTTGCATTTATCCCATGGCATGCAAATTGGACATTACTTTTAAACAGATTTGTAAACATGGGATCTCTCTCGCTCTTTCTCTGATGTGTGCACATGTACACACAAGACATAGCCTCCCTCACTTGCAAGAACAATAACTCTCAAGTTGATTCCAACTTATGTGACCCTTCAGAGTTTTCTATCTATAGACTACTTAGAAGTGGTTAACCATTTCCTTCTCTTGGAGGAATTCTTGGGAGGCATGTAGCTTGCCCAACACCACACAGGCTGGCTTTAGTCCCAAGAAATGCAGCAGGGCATCAAATTCCCTGCCTCTATATCCAGGTTCATTGACCTGTTCACCCTTAGTCCACTGGAATTCCAGTGTGGACAGAAAATACCCAGGAACTCATTCAGTGCAACTCTTGGCCCGCCCCCAAAACTGATGCGTGAGAGCTAAAACTTGTAAAATTAAATTTATTATACTGCTTTAAAAATAAAACTCTGTTCTTCCTCAGAAAAACCCATTGCTGGAAGAATAGAAGTCTTCATTCTACAAAAAGGATCATAAAGATTTTTAAAATGTTGTTTCTATAAACAAATTTGACTGTTTTGAGAATCAAAACAGCAGCAAAAGATAGCTGTTTCCTCCCCTCCTGTCCCCTTCTACCGTTAGTGAATAAGGCTGCAATCCTGAATTGCATTGGGGCTAATTCTATGAAAATAATGAAAACAGTTACGAAAGCACGCAAAGAAGTAACAGAAGTATAACACATTCATCATGCTGCATTCATAACATACAGTAACTTCATTATCCCTTCTTTACTGGAAAAAAGAATTAATCATACATAATTCATTCATTCGCAATGAGAACCTGTCTACTTCTGCAGATATAGAGTTTGCATTTTAAACTTTCCCAGTCTGTCAGAAACAACCTTTTAAAAAAGGTGGCTGCTTGGAAGAAAAGTAGAGGCATGTGGAACCAGAAAAGAGCCTTTCTAAAACTTTTAGCTTTGACGTCCAGATTCCAATGTAAGCATGGGAAGTTACCAGAAGGTGGACAACCTTAAAATTACCCTGTTTTGTGTATGAGTGCTCTCAGAATGAAGGGAGAGAAGAATTCCCTCCAGCTAGCATATTCTTTTGCTAAGGTTGAGATACCCACAGAGATGAGTGCCTGAGCAAGCAAACATGCAAATAATGCCCATGTTTACTTTCTAATGACCAATCACAAAACAAAGCTCACTGGAAGGCAATATGGAGTTAAATGAAAACACATGTTCTGACATCTTCTACCACCAAAGCAAATACTGTTTCAAATGAAATGTTGTCATCCAGTGTGACCTTAATATTTTTGTTAGGAGTGTGACTAGACTAAAAACTACTTACAAACTGGTTCTGTAAACACCATTGTGTCTACAATCTAATACATAGAACTCAGGAAGTCAGCTGCAATTTAGAAGTGAAGAAGAAAGGTCCTCCCTCCTACCACTCCTGGCCACTTCAGTGAGTCTCGTCTTGATCATGGCTCTATTATCAGCCTACCAGCATTGCTTCAGGCGTCATATCAAGGTCACCCTGAGGTGAACATCATCACAGTCACTCAGCAAAACCTGATTCTCCATCATCTATAGTACAAATAGTATAGTGCTCTCCCCTGATTTTGCAACTGATTTGTTACCTCTATATTCAGCAAGGAAGACTGACATGCATGTGGCCAGCATGGATTGTGTGCACCGAACGTATGCTGATGTGCATCCAGTGGCTGAAATAAATACTGTCTGGACCCTACTATAGCCCTTGTTATGTTTAAATGAAAAGGTATGGATTATTTTGATGGAAAAGCAAGAAAAATGCATTAACGTGTCATATAATTCCCCCTAATATTGATGTTATACAATTAAGACTCCAAAGAACCACATGTAATGCTATTATGTGTTTTTTCTTCCTGTGCCCCCCCCCACCTTTCTATCACTTTTGTGGGTTATGATTTATTGCAACCATACAAGATCAGGACAAGCTACAAGGCATTTGCTGCAATCCCTACTAACACACTACTTCTGGAACAGAAGGTTGGTTTTCTTAAATGTTTCTTTAGGGGTTTGTTTGGAAGTAAATGTTAATATGAACTGCTCTGTGGCTTCTTGACTGGGGATAGGCTTGATGGTCCATAGGGTCCCTGCTAGCTCTGCAGTTCGAAAATGAGGATGATGAGGGATGCTGGAAGTTTAGTACATTTTTTTGACATTTCCAAGCTCTGCAGCAGATTGTGGATGGACTACTGTGTGCTCAAGTGTGTGCATCATCGACACACAGCAGCAGCCTTTGGCAAGGGAAAGAGAAATGTGAGTTTGAATACCAGCCCTACAATTTGTTTGGTTGATACAATGTACTTGAGACAGACACATCATTTTCACTGATTTTCTATCCTCACCAGGACTGTGCTTTGAGATTTGTGATCTATTGATGAGAGCACAGATGGCAACATCTGATCTTCCATGACATGTACTGAACTGCAGCTCCCACCATTCCTTATTATTGCCTCTGCTGACGATGGCTGAAGGGAGTTGAGTTCTAATAACATTTTGAGAGATGTATGCTTCCCCCATTCTTGGGTTAGAGAATTACTTTTTGAAACAGCAGATTATATTTACAGATAGAAATCAGCTCCAGTCACTCAGTGCTGTTCCAGAAAATAAAGCTGCAGTACACGTGCTCCCTCTAAAGGACAGGAGGGTGCAGAGTAGTCGAATGACAAGATGGGTGGGATATAAATAAATAAA